AGGGTTTCCTTTTGTCTTGCAGAATGATTGAATCAGTTGTTTTTGCTGATGCTGGAAGTCGGAGATGGTCGAAGGGACGATGAAGTCTTGAATGGAAGAGAAAGAAGATGAGTTTTGAACGGGAAAGAGAAAACTTCATGCGGGACAATCAAGAATGGACGGATCACGGACACATCTTCCTCATTTTTGTCCGATCTGTGCCCAGAATGTGCCAGTTGCGGGGAATTGGGCTTTGGAGAAATTGCTTTTGGGCGAACTGCTGGTTTAGGTCAATATTCCACTTTGAGCCATGCATAATTGCAGTATTTTTTCAGATTCCTACATTCTTCCAGATTCGTCACCTGGTACATGTACTAGTACATACTACGTTATTTACGTACCGGTACGGTAGCCTTACAGTTGGTGTCTTAGACGAATCTTCCATTTTCAGTCATTTTTCTAAAAGAAGTAAATTGAAAAGTAATGGAAACCGAAAACATGTACACGTATTCCCGCAATAGCGATTGGATGTGCCCAAATTCAAGCATCTCCGATGATCCAGTTTACGCGGAGACGTGGATCGGTTCTAAAAAAGTGATGTGCGCGTCTAAAAAGTCGAGGTGCACAGCACTCATAAAAACAAAAACCTCAATCAAACAAACAAACACACCTGATCTCACAAAAACTATTTCATAGCACAAACAAAACAATCGAAACAATGGCGCCTATAGATAAGAAGAAGAGAGGCATGAAGAAACGGGCCCCGAAGAAGCAGGGACCCAACTCTGAAATGAAGCTTCAGTCGCAAAGGTTCAAGAGGGTAAGCTTCGAACTGTGATGTGACGGCCTCTTGGTTGCGTCTCCTTCGCTTCTCTCACGCTGTGCTGTACTGTAGGATACACTCGGCCTCCTTGCCCACATGCAGATAGGGCAAGGTGGCGGTGTGCCTGATGCCATTTTGACTCTCGTGGATGACGTTGGTGATAGCAAGACGAAGAGGCTTGCCAACAAGAGCAGCCCCAGCAAGGCTGGCAAAGTAGCCAATGGAAGGAAAAAGGTGGGAGACTTCTCAAGGAAAATTGTGGTGGCGATGCAGAAGTTTTTGACGAAGCTAGTGAGGCAGTTCGCCGACAAGGCAGCCGAGTATGCCCTTAACGAAATGGTCGGACAGATTGAGCAGACGGTGTATTTTTTGCTCGGTGGTGTGTTGGAAGAGGTCAAGGGCTTTGTGTCTGGGGGCTTTGACGTTTTCAAAAACATCAAGCAGGCTGTTGTGAGCGCCCAAAGGTATCTGGCGACCAACGGCATTGCAGAACACATCAACGATGGATACCCCACGCACACCGTGGAAGCGGTGCGGGCCTTGATCCTCAAGTCGACCTTTGAAGGTCTCGGGAAGTTGCTCCAGCAGTGTCTCGAGGTGGGATTGGAGGTGGCCATTCCCTGTGTGGCACCTGTGGTTGCGGCTGTCAAGAGCATTATGAGCTTCTTGGTCCGTACATTCATGAGGTTCCGCCTCGTTTACAATACCAGGGTGATCTTCAAGGAGGCCCGCACCGCCTGGCACGACAGAAGGCTGAACAGCAAGGACAGCAAGTGGGACAGGAGCATCGACCAATGGTTTGATGCCTGGTTCCCAAGTGTCTTGCTAAGGGCTCCGCTTTTGGCGTGCTACCTCCTGGGGACCAACGCCTCCGGCAGTATCTACGCTTTCTTGTCTCCGTTTGGTATTGATGGACACAAGAAGACCCACAACGAGCTCGTGTACCCCCACAGGCAATACCAGGCCTTGCGTGAGTTCGCCTGGACGACCACAGCCGCGCACCCCATTAAAATGATTGGATATGGAAAGGAAGGCAAGAAGGGCGAAAGATTCATGTACACTTGGGCGAACGATTGTATGATCGCGGCCTTGAATCATGGTGTGGTTCGTGTGCAGCTCCCTCCCATCAGGCTCTGAGATCGGCGCAGGCCTTCATCTATGCATATGTGTGGGTCGAGTCATCTTTGTGGATCGAGTCGCTGTCTGGAACCAGGAGAGATTTATGTGAATGACTCTCTTGACGGGGCAACAATGTATCGAGACAAGACGCATGTCAACTGCCGTGGATACATTCACTCAGTTGCGAATAAACATCTCGGTTGTTTCTAAACTAAATTTATGCCTCTATACCTCAATTTCCATAGCGCAGTTGTTCATTTCCATTCCATTCCGATCCACATAGCTGGAATCGGATCGGGTTGATTGTAAATTATGATAGTTCTGTCCTGTGGTACATAAAACAGCTTCGGCGGCGTGCTTGGGTGTGGTGACGTCTGCTACCGGTAGAGCTGCTAGTCCATCAAGTATGGTCTCAACAACAGCAATCCACACTGTGCCAGTACGAGTCCCCAAGTTGTTGCTTGAATCCAAGACGAGGAAGACGATCTAGTCTCTGCTTGATCTATGATCGTCTCTGAAGACAACGACCCGTCAAAAAATCCGCCCATGATGATTTCTTCGTCTTCCACGTGTTCGTCTCTATTATCATGAGCAGATGCGTCCCCGCCATGGACCCAAGTGGGACCAGTCACTTCCTCGTTGCTGTCGCCTTGGATTACGTCCATCGGAAATTTGTCCAAAGGATCGTCCACAATCGCCGCGTCTTCGTCCCCCACAAAATGCTGCGTCGACATGTCTTCCGGATTGGGTGCATGAATCCCTCCCATCTGTTGGATATAATCGACAAACGCATCCAAGTAGGTCACATTCGTGTCACTCCGCCCTTCTGCGTTGATGAATTCAAAGTACCCATCCCGTCCTGCAGCCAAGAACGAATTCGTGACGACTGTGTATGTCCTACTCCAATCCAGGTCATTCCAGGTCCCCTCCTGAAGCCGAGCATTGAGTTGTAGATTGGAGATGCGGTAACCCAATGATTCACTGGCGTTGACGTCGAACCGTAGTCCCGAAGCGTACGGATAGGATCCTGACGACTCCCCGTTAAACGCCAATTCCAGCGCTTGTTCCAAAACAGTGTGAATTTGAAAACCAGCCATTTCCAGAGTCACCAGCGTATCTGAAAATGGCAGGAATTCCATGGCTTGACCATAGCTGAAGTTGCCCCCTTGAATGTCGGACCGACACCCTCCAGCATTTTGAATGGCTACATCTGCTTCAACAGTGCGGTCCAACACGGCTTGTGCGACCAGATTACATGCAGGGCCACCATGATGATTGGTAAATGCACCTTGTCGTCCACAAACATCGCTGCCTCCTTCCCCTGGGATTGCTTCGTTGCACAAAGGATCCGCTTCGTAAGTCAACAGTCGTGTGAAGAAATCATCTCCTGTGGCATCCAGGTAGGCCTGCAGTTTGTCTAGCGTCTGTTTATCTTGTGTTGTATGTTTGAAGGTTGGACCCATATTGTGCAAGTAGTTCGTGACTGTCGTTGCATCCTCCACGGAGGCATCTGGATCGGGTTCAAACGGGATAATGTAATTCCCCCCACACATGACGACACGTCCCGCTGCATCAAACTCCACTTTCAGCCGTCCAATCCCATGTCCAAACTTCCAAGCCTGCACAATGCACAGCGGATCACTCGAAGTTTGTTGCTGACTAACGACTGGATATCGGTCGTGGGGAGTGAGTACAGTGCCAACATTTTTGGCCAGCAGCGTATGAGAATGCCCCCCAACAACGACATCGATTCCTTCAATCCTTGTCACCCAATTGAGATCACGTGCAATCCCCATGTGGCTGACGAGAATAATCTTATTGATGCCTCTGTTTTGAAGGGCACGGACTTGTTGTCGTACCGCTTGTCGTTCATCGACTAGAGTCGTTCCTTCATCGGGTGAAGATCCTGTGAGAGTTTTGTTGCGTATATCGACTCCAATGATTCCCACCTTGTGCCCTCCCTTGAAGTTTCGAACGACAAAGGGTGCAATGTAACCTTTTTCTTTGATGGGATAGAGCGGAGATGTGGAAGCCGGAACCAAATTGGAAGACAGGACTCGAGTGTTTTGGCAGGGAGAACTACGTATGAAGAGACAAGGTATGGTTAGCTAGGTTTGTTTGTGAGCATGCTCATAGTCCTTTACAGATAAGGCTTGCTCTTGCGTGATCTGCCAGTGCTAATACTCACTGAATATCCGTAAGATGCGTCACGAACTCTGCCAACACATGATCGCCGTCATCGAATTCATGATTTCCAATGTTGAAGACGTCATAGCAAACTTCGTGCATCATATCGACATCGGCATGAACACCAAACAATCGATACATCCCTGTACCGGTGAGTGCATCGCCGGCATGCAACTTGAGCACATTGGTGTAGGTATTCTTGAGCCTACGAAAGGTCCGTACAAGACGAGGGTATCCACCGTAGCGGACGCGTCGAGCATCATCTGTCACGTTGGGCAGATCTTCCTGGGGGATGGTGAATATTTCTTCCTCTAAATGGGAATGATGATCATTGGCGTGGAGCAAATGTAGGATGAAGTTGTCATTTGTTGTCGTAGTGGGCACTGGCGGCAGGAACTCTTCCGCCACTACCATCCTTTTTGGCAGCAGAAAGGACAGGACCAGCACTGCTCGGTAGAGCAACAAACAAGAGGAAGCTCGCATCGTGGCACCGTGGCTTGTGAATGAATAGTAGGGTAGCAACGAAAATGAACGGGCGCCTGTTCTGTTCGAACTCGGATCCTCGTTACGATTTCAGGTTTTCTCCTGATTGTTGACGTTGCTGATGCTGGAATCCTCTCGTTGCGGTTTCGACTGTGATATCATTGTTCTTGAATCATGACGAACGTTCAGCTTTCAAATGACAATGATGAATGTGTTTGCTCTCTTTGTTGGTGAGGATCGTTGCTTCTTTTCACACAACACACAACGACGACTTTTGGAATCGTTCCACGCTGCCGTAAGATGTGGAAAACGTTCGATGCCACCGGAATGATGTTCGAGCCAAAGAGACAGTCAAGCCAGCCCAAGCCACATGATGGTATTTAGGTAACGTCATATATGATACTTAGACAAAGAGATTCTCATTCATGCAAAACTTTAATACTTAAGTCGCCCTCGCTTGTTGCATCCGGAGTGCTCGCTGGTGGCGATCATGTGCAAAAGATCCCATTATCGCTTCATTCCGTCTTCTTCGAATGTGCAACCTTAGCTTCAGCCGCGGTCGATGGGTAGCTAGAGGAAATCGGAAGAAATCCCGTGTATGTATCGAGATTGTTCTATCTTGTTGCTAAAGCCCATGACAATATACCGGTAAATCATTAGCTAGACAGATAGCAAAGGTGCGACGACCATGGACCCCATCGAAGCATGCTTGGCGTATGACGACGAAGGACCCCAGGAACGTAAAAGGCAACGAATTGCGTTGGTGGCTCCAGCCTCGAGACAACATGTCCAGGAAGAAAAGAAAGATGACGAATCTCCAGGAGAACACATATGCTTTCTACATTCGATTTTGGGAGCACCGCCGTCGTCCATTCAGCTATTCCATCATCCGACGGTACCATCCCGCGTTGTCCAACAAAAACGCGAATGCGCAGTGACGTGCTTTCGATATCTGCTACGAAACTGGCTATCGCAAGAGAACGAAACAGCAACTGGTTACTGGGACAGTGAGCAATGGAAAGAGCTGCATGGTTTCCTGACTCTGCACCTGAACAGTCTGTTTTTGGACGGATTCGTTACAGATACGCCCACCACTACGGATTACGATTCTGGTAACACGGACAAGCTGGAAATGGTCACGTTGCTCTGCCAGTGTCTGCAACAAATTTACGTCAAGTCAATCCATAAAGCAATCTACACTACGGAGGAATTACAAGTGGTACTGGATGTTCTTGTGCAAAATGTTGCTCCGGCCCTCGTCACAAGTTATTATGGTGGCCCAGACAAGAAGAATCGGAACTACGAACCTCAGAAAGACGAGCTGGTCTTGGTTCTACTCGACATCTTTCGAATCTTTGTGTTGACGCAACAGCAACACCACGATCAATCGCTGCTTTCGTGTGAGCAGACTTGTCAAGTGCTGGACGAGTTTCTCCGGTGTCTCGGCAACCACAACAACACGCCTGAGAGTGTATGTCAGAAATGCTCCCAACTACAACAGCAGCTCAATCTTCTTCTCTGTAGTGCCACCAACAGCGAGATGGCAACGCTTGGAGGCAACGAAATGGACCTCAAGGACGGAGAGACACCCTGGCAAACGATGAGGCGCTGGAGACGCTTGGCGCAGACCAATCAAGAGGTTGCCACTCGAATGTCTCAGAACACAAGCGTACTGGATCAACTGGTCGACTGGGCGTTGACGAAGAACAAGTCCAAGTCGACTGCGGCTCTATACGACGATATTGATGTAGCCTGTGAAGCAGCCGAATGTCTTTCCATCCTTGCTACCAACCGAAGTGCAGGAGCAAAAAAATCCTCGGCAGATTCTGTCGACTGGACACTCTCTTCTCTTCTCAAGGTGCTGGTGGGCAACCCACGTACTAATAGTGGTGCGGACCATCTGCCCGTCAAACAGGCCGCACTGGTCGGTCTCAGACATTGCCAACTCGCATCCGTTCCTTGGCAAAATCAAGCCTTTCTGGCCTGCGTAGTTTCTTCACTCATGTTGATTATCAAGACCCCACGAGAATGGCCCGAGTATTACCGCTCCAACAGCAGCAGTATGACACAGAGTCATGATTACAAAGTGGATGCAGCTGCTATGTTGCTTGATATCATTGAACAAAACCAAACGCCAATCCCAGCAGAAGATCATGCTGGTGGAACCATCGCGGTACTCCCTTACCAACAAGCCATGGGCCATGTCGGTGAACTGCTCCTAATGTACGACGAATCATCCCTTCAACAACTCGCCGTTCAGTATTTGGCTCGGGAAGCCAAGGCCAATGGAGCTCGCCTTGTCCTGGGGTATCCGACATTGCTCAATGACTTGGGAGCGCTCTGCTGCGACGGATTAACTGCGGGAGACATCAAGCACACTGTGGTTGAAATTTTGAACGCTCTTTCTCGTAGCCATGCGGCCAGCCTCACAATCCTGGCCCGACAAGTCAAAGTCTTGGACGCTTTGGTGGCCATAGTCTCGGGGCAGCAACACAACAACACCAACAATATGCGCACGCAAGAGTTGGCTCTCGCAGTATTGGTGCGCTTGTCACAAGATGTGTCCAACCGGCGCATTGTTGCCACCCACGTGGGAGTGCTCTCTTGTTTGATTCGCTATGCCAGGGCTCATTCTAATACCATGGTTGCACAGCCACTTGACAATCATCATCACCATAACTTCAACATCTCCAGCGGCGTCTCTCTCAATCATTTGAAAGAACGAATCATGGAGCTCACCGTGGCAATCTAGTGATCAACGGGTCATGAAGTGTCATGGAAGAAGGCGACCATCAACAGAAAAAAGATCTCGCTGTTGCGGCGCCCAGCACACCTCAAGGAGATCTTACATATATTCATAACTTCAAACAGGACACCCAAGTCCATACCGACTCAGTCAATTCAAAATTCATAACAAACCTAACCTACCAACTGACACGATGATCATTTCACGGACAAACAACACAATTCATATTTCATAACAAAATATCACTTTATTAATTCATAACATGTTAAAATTTAAAAGCACAAAAAGTGTCCTCAAATCCTCCAGTGAGTGTGCGTTGTACAATAAGGCGAAGCTGAACGTACCGGTACGTAAGCTCGTCAAGAATACGGAGCTTCTCTGAAGCACAAGCCCAAAAGTGACGGTGCTAGGAAGCTTTGGGTGACTGTGAGCACTAGTCATTCAAGGTTTTCACTCGGCTCTGATAGAGAGAGATGACATGATTTGTCTATACATTTAGCATCGCCTCCCATTGACCGCTTTCGTGACCAGTGCGAGGAAATGGAATAAACAGATGGCGTGGTTTGAAATGTTCGCTCAATCCAAGCTGTTACGAATGATTCAATCAGTTTGTAGTTGATCAGATTGTACCGTACACGTATGTATTGATTTGCTGCGTGTCAGCTTCAAGAGCCTGAATACTTTTTGTAGATAGAGCTCTCTGGATAACTATCTAGCTAGCTAGCTTGTGGACGAGCACACTAGCTAGCATAGCGTTCCTCTCATACAGTACCGGTAGGCTGACGGAAGCCACAAAGTCGAAGAGGAAGAAAATATCCAAAAGGGAAAAGATTCTCACTCCCGCACTTGTTCCGTTTTTTGAGAATCCGGCTAGGGTTAGAGCTGAATCCTTGGAGACTTTGCAAACTCGAGCAGAAGCAACAAGGAGGATCTGGCGGGTTGTCTCACCGGATGCTTGCACAGCCTATTAGTACTTGTTCCACAAGTCTGCCTGACTAGCTATTTCATGTTAGCATCTGGTGAGTATCTTTGTTGGATAGTTCATTGAAAGCAAAGTCGTACATTTCAGGCACTTCATTGATTGGTCCTGTTGGCGTAGCATTACAGTATGTGCAAACCATCAATGCCAGCATCTGGTAAGAATCATCCTTAGAATGTCATTGAAAGCAAAAGTCGCCCGTTTTCAGGCACTTCATTGATTGTTCCAGTTGGCTAAGCATTATGAGCAAACATCCTGGTGCCGACTGCAACACCGCGATGGATGCACCCGCCGAAACGACGATCTTGCAGCGGGGGGCCAGCCGGAAACGCTCCACCATATCCGAGGGGAGAGCAGGGGAGAGAAAGCGACCCAAGAAGACTCAAATTGCAAGTACTGGTCCTTCGATCGCCACCGAGAATCGCATTTCGGACTCTCTACCTGTTCCAGTTTCTCCTCCTCAAGATGCTGGATCAAAGTTGTTGACGACAGTGAGCACTCCTGAGCGTGATTGTGCTATTAATAGTAGATCTTCTGGGGAAACAAGCGCCAGTTTCAGCAGCCTCTCACCTCCTGGATTACGCATGATATCAGAGTGTCTCCCTCCTCCACCGGTAGTGATCACTCCATCATCGGCGACAGAGATTGTCAAACTTCCACCTTCGTTTCTCTCCTCGGACTTGCCTCTGGCTTCCAAAGAGACTTCTTCTTCTGGATCCTGTACATCATCTTTGTCCGAAGAGACTTCCAAGAGCTCTTCTCACAGTGTCGATCAAGAAGAAGGTGCATCTGGGACCGTGGGACAGAGCCAGCACGTTCGGGAACAAGAGGAGCCCTCGGTGGACGCTGTCGAACACACAGTTCTTCCCGTCATCGATAAAGCAATCAAGGCTGCCAGGGAAAAGGCGTTGAACTCCAAACCCAAGGACACCGAGGAAGCTGCGGAACAAGTGCAGACAGATTACACAACTTGGCCCAGTTCCATTTGGGAAACAAACCTGAACGACTCTGACGGAGAGATTGTCTTTGAGCTTTCCAGTCGTTCTAGTGATTCCAACGATGGCGATCGCAACGAAGAACAAATCGTCGACGGCGACTGTACCAAGTCAAAGTCGGAAACAGAAACTTCCGCAACACAGATCAGCGACCAAACTCGAAAAATCGACCAGACATCCACTGACCCAAAGCGAGATACGAGAGGACAGCAACGAAGGTTTCTGATGCCACTGATCTTCGTGGGAACAGTTGTCCTCGCCTTCTTCGCAAGAGGACGTTGGTTAGATCGCCAGGGCAGCCTGGAAACCCTCTTCACGAGGGCCGTCAAGTTTTCTACAGATTCAGTTGCTGTAAGCCAACACAAGGTCCACTCTGGAAGTGCCATCAAACAAACAACCTTAACTACCTTGCCGCCAACGGTTGGTCTGGACGCTCAGACACTCCCTGTCAAACCAACTGTTTTCTTGGCTACGACATCAGAGGATTCGCCAGCCTTTCGCGACCTCGAGGCCGAGTTGAACGAAAACAAGCAACCCGAGCAGGTCAAATCCATGGCCACAAGCATCGTCTCAAAGGAAGGCCATGGTCCAAACACTGTGCCAAATGACAAGCGGGATGAACGTACGGAGCCGGCTGTGGATTCAGCTGAACCAATCTCAACCAACACGTCGGGGGAAACGGGAGAAGGAGTGGTTGGCGATGAGCTGAAGTTTGCTTTAGAGAATCAAACCGCTGTAAAAGTCTCTCAAGACAAGACCCCAGTGTTGAAGAATGAAGACACTCTTGTAGAGTCGAAGGAGAGTCCCGAGGCGTTGAAAGACAAATCCGACAACGTTAAAAGTCTAGGTGTTCGGGAACAACCCCCATCGAATGAGCCAGCTGTAGAGGAGTCGGACATGGTAACAATGGCGAATACCAACCTATATGATTACAAGACAGTGGTTGGCGACGAGCTAAGGCCGATCAAAAAGGAACAGAAACAGTCGGTCCAAGTCCCTAAAGCTAACGCCCCCGTTGGAACGCCGGACAACACCGCTAGTGCAGAAAAAGGGAGCGTCACCTCCAAGGACACCCGATCCACCAAATCGACGACGAACTCTTCAGCGCCAACCTCGTTGAATGGACCAAGAGGGGAAGAATCAAAGGATTCCACGCTGAAAGCTCCCTGGACGAGAGGCAAGACCGTGACCGACGACAAGCCAAAGTTGAATAGAGACAGGATCAAGAAGAAAAGAGTTGAACGTGCTGCAAACAAGTTCACCCATGGACGGAAGAACAAGACGACTTTGAAATCAACAGCGACTCCCGCCCAGAACGAAGATCACAGCAAGCCGAAGGCCAAAGGAGCTCCCGACATGATGGACACAACTATATTCGCAAAGAACTCATCCACTGGCATCTCTACAGTCGATCTTGATATCGGAAAGGAACCCCCTGTCACCGTCAGTGTCAACAGCGAAACCAGACACTCGGGCGCAACGAACTCAACTGACACAGGCAAACTGGTGAAATCGGTCAAGCCCAAAGAACTCGTAGACATGGTCGAACCCGCTTCGTCTTCACAAAACAAAACCGTTGGTGTCATTGTTAAAGCCACTTCAAAGCAAGACAAAGCCACCGAAGGTGACGCTAGCTTGAACCCCCCTTCACCCCCTGAAGCACGAAGCAGCAACGTACTATCTGTCCGAGCCCAGTCTAGTACTTCAAATGCCCATGAGGTGCAACTTCCTGATGCCTCGCTGGAGAAGAGTCCCCCCAAGTCAACTGCAACTCTGGCACGCACAGACAGATATGACACCTCTTCCGACAAATCTGAGACGGATGATTCCATCAACGAACCGACAAAGGAAGAGGAGCCGTTGCAGAATGGAGACAATCCAGAAGTAGGCAAACACACACATGGGGAAGAGGCACTTGGAGAAAACCCCGCCAGAAAGGACGTACATGATATTAATACCTTCTCGGACGAATCAGAGACTGACCAAAGCACTAATGAACTGGCAAAAGAAGAGGAGCCATTGGGCAATGGAGACAAGCCAACGGTAGTTGAGAGTGGCGAGGTACTTCAAGACGGCTCGATCACAGATGTGGCCTCCGACTATCGTGCACCTGAACAGTATGAGTTTTTGGCCATGAGTTTCCTTCCAGTGTACACCCAGGAAGCAATCGGGGCTAACTCACAGTCGCCCCAAGGAAAGGCATTGGATTGGTTGAACCACGAGGCAAGCCTTGCTAGCGAGCTTCCTGTCTGGAGGAAGTTGCAACGTGTTGTTCTAGCAACTCTCTACCATTCTCTCTTTCCGAAAAACGATAGCGGCTCTTATCCTACCATTGCGCATGACCGCCATGAATGTGAATGGTTTCAAGCACACGAAGAAGACTTTAGCTGGTTTTGCAACGATCAAGAAGAAGTGACCTACGTATCCTTGGCGAACAGAGGTTTGACTGGGAGCGTCCCGGCTGAAATTCGACTCCTGTCATCGCTCTTGGTTTTTGACCTGCGTGATAACCCTGACATCCAAGGCCAAGTGCCCAGCAGTCTCGGTTCGCTACCAAGCCTTGTTCACATTCAACTTCAAGGATGCAACTTTCATGGTCCCGTTCCGTCATCGTTGTGGCGACTCCCAAGGTTGGAAACGTTGGGTTTGTCTGGCAACTCTATCGGAGGGAGCTTGCCATCAGAAGTCGGTTTGCTAGCAAACATCTTGGATTTGCAACTGCAATCGGTGGGCCTTCAAGGAAGCTTGCCGACTGAGATCGGAGAGCTGCTTTCATTGGAGCGGATGATCCTGTCTGGCAACAATCTTGCTCAATCAATTCCAGATGAAATTGCTATGCTGCGAAAGCTTTCGTGGATGGATCTTTCCCACAACGCATTCCAAAGCTCAATTCCTTCGTTGCTAGGACGTCTGAGAAAACTGAGGGTGTTGAAGCTCGACAACAACGATCTAACAGGGAGCATCCCCGATCAATTGTCTTACATCAAGGGTTTGGAGGATCTGACCCTACACAACAATCGACTCGAGATCTTGCCCAGCGAACATGGCGCTGCCTGACGCCTGAGAGTACTAGTAGGTGAGAAGTAACAAACTAAACTGATTAGAATTAATAATTACATCCCAATCCTGCCCCACTAGTTGATCGGTTCCTCTGCCATTATTTGTGTGTCCTGTGGCACTCGAAACAACCAGCAAACACTGACATGATCAACATCACCCTCGTGCAGCTCCGTCTTCCTCTATGTGTGGCTTTGATTCGGGTGGTTTCTTCGGAGCAAAAGACTTCAAAGCAGAGCAAATATTCAGCTGCAGCAGCTTGCTCGCGGTGAAGTTCCACTAGCTAGACCCTGGTGCCAAATTGGAACTATGTAACCGAGATGATTGAAACAAACGTAAACATTATTTTAAAAGACTAGAACCCGTGGTGCCGGCACGGCAAAGTCAGAACTTCTTTGACTAAACGGGCGGCTCGGGGCATCCATTGGCACGAGCCCAGTTCACAATGTCCAAATGCTCACCGAGCCGAGCCCCGCTGATGACGAAGCTATCCCATGGGCATCCATTCTCTCTGGCCCATTTCAAAATCTCTAGATGTCCGTTTAAGGCGGCAGCATAGCATGTCGAAGTGCCCCATCGACAGCCCTTTTCACGCGCTTGTTGCAGGATATGTAGATGTCCACCCCATGCAGCCATTTCACACGTGGAACCATCCCAAGGACAGCCATTGTCTTGAGCCCAGTCAATGACATTTTGATGTCCATATCGGGCAGCCTCGGAGCACGTCATTTCGTTCCAGGGGCATTGATTATTGGGGTCATTGTTGCGCAAGTACTTCAATGTGTCGAGCTGTCCACCTCTAGCAGCAGCAGCACAAACAGATTCATTCCACGGCCCTACATTGCGTTGGGCCCAGTTTAGAGCTTCAATTTTCCCACCTTCAGCGGCAGCCATAGCAATGGAAGCACCGTTAGTTGGGAGTGGACATCCTTTGGACATGGCCCAGTTCAGCATTTCCGTGTTGCCACAAAAGGCCGCGCCTTCCAAAGTTGATGCGTCCCAACGACAGCCATTTGCGTGAGCCCACTGCAACACATCAAAATGTCCATGCTTGGCAGCAGCAGCACACGTGCTTTCCCCCCAATGAATATCCTCCTTCTGCTGGGCCCATTGTAGAGTGATCAGGCTCCCAACCTTGGCAACGATCCTGCACACATCGGGAGTCCAAGTTCGTAGTTTGGAGTACCAATATTCGGCACGCTGAGGGTTGCAGAAGATCACCTTGTAGAAAGTGTGAGTGCTGGTGGCTCGCACCTTTGTTGGCAAAAGCGTGTATTTGTTTTTTGAGACGATCATTGGCGGATCCTCCACAGTTTCACAGTACTGCTTGTAGAGCCGATTCATCTTCTTGCTGACAGCACCCGCAAAGCCATACTCCCCCATGCCCACAAAGGAGAAAATGTTGTCCAACCAAAGGTCCTCCTTTTCCAGCACGACAGAGACGACCTGACCACGTGCGGTGTGGATCTGCTTATCAAAATCTGTCTTGGCATCACCCAAGACTGGAAGGTTCTGGCTCAGTTGCTGATAGTCTCCGTCGTCTTTCATCTCCTGGAGAGTGTCCGTGCCGATGGCCATGGCGTTGCGGAAAATGACACTCTTGCTTGGGAGCTCCTTGGTTTTCTCCGTAGGTATGGCCAGCAGGGTCCGCGTCGCTCCGTCGTAGTCGCCACGATTAATCATCTCAATCAGATAATCGCGAAAAGGGTCATTCGGGGAAGGCTTTGCCTTTTTTTCGGTGGATCCGACCGCCATCTCTTGGACGTCTGCTTTGCTGTTGTCGTTGTTGCTAGTCTCTGTAGCTTCGGGCGTCTTTCGCTTCTTTTCAGAGGAATCGTTGGCGGAAGACATGATTGATGGAGCTGTTGATGGATGGCTTGATTCAAGTTGGTTGCTTGTCTCTTGGACGAATAGCGACTGTAGCTAGCTAGTTGGTGGAGCTTGGCTCGAAATTATGTGCCCTACCATGGACGCCCTCCTCATGTAACATCATCTGCCAACTCTTTACCCCCGAAACTAATATTTGCCTATTCCTGTAGTTAGTTTATCTATTCATTTCTCATTTTGAATGGGGGTATCTAATGTTCCGTTTTTTTGGTACATTCTCTACACAAAAATTCTACGGGCAATCCCAGCTTCTTCGGACAGAAGCCGGCTTGGTATACCGTGATCAGGTAGATGGGGCAAAACTCAGTTAACCTCAACTACCCTATGCTAATAAGACAGTCGTCCGCCCTTTAGAAGCAGCCTTTGTCGAGACCCACACCTACACAATGCTGCTGCAAGACTTGCATTAGCTAGCTAGCCCATGGCTTCAGGACACCTATGTACCATTGCAGTGATGTGAAGCCAACTGCATTGCGCGGAGCTTTTCATGAAAGACTAAGTCGTCCACACAACAGTTGTCCCGGAGAAGCGAGCTTCACGTAAGAACAGCTGCGTGGGCTTGCTCCTGTGAATCATTCAGGATACTTCGGGGACGACGCTTACTAGCTGCTGGGGGTTAGCTAATCTAGAGGACTGAGGGGCAACCCTGGCGAACAAGAATAGGCTTCTTCATGATGAACCTGACTTACCTATTGCCACAAAGGAGGCAGCGATGACAGGGCAATGCTCTCGCAGCTCTTCGCATGTCCTCGTGCAGCTTGCTCCGTCGAAGAGTTGCTGCTTTAGCCCTGGACTGCAGCATGAGCCATGAAGAGACCGGCAGCTGCCAACAACATCCTCTGCTTCGTCAGAAAGCTGACGGCAAAATAGTGTTCCATCAAAGTCTAGCTAGCTAAAGTACTTTTTAGCATTGCACTATTCTAGAGAAGGCATCAGTTGCAGAGAACAAACCACATTTACTTTATTATTAATCATATAGTAGATTCAGTGACTGACTAGCAGCCAAGGGGCTTGTCTTTGCAGCAGGTAATAGTAGCGGATTGGGTGTTGTCGCAAGAGTTGCGGCACTCAAGGCAGTAGTTGCTTCTTAGTTGGGGAAGAAGTTCTCAACGTTTCCAAGCTTGTCGTGGACCATGAGTCCCAAAAGACCCATCTGGGCGGCACGTCCTTGGTTGATTTCAAGGGCACGCTTGGTGAGCTTGGTCTCCTCATCGAAAGAGTCCCATCCGAAGTCAAGGGCTCCGTTACGGAAGTCACCAACGTGTTCGTTTCCGGTTCCTTCAATGTCCTTCATGACAGCAAGCTCCAAAAGACCAACAAAGGCCAAGACTTGGAGGGCACCGGCAACGGGGACGGCGAAGGAAGCATCCCATCCGTATCCGAGGTCGGAGAACTTGGTTCCAGAGTAGTCAATGTCACCGGGAAGGTAGACTCCGGCGGCGTTGAGGAGGTATCCAACAACTCCAAGCATACAGATGCGTCCGTGCTTGATCTCAACATAACGGAGGCGGTCGAACTTTTCTTGGTCTCCATCGGCAACCATACCAAGGGGATCAAAGAATCCAAGAGGAGCTTGGGCACCGAGCTCGTCTTCGAAGGCCATGTTCAAGGCAGTGCTGCGGGAAGCATCCTTGGCAGGAGCAAAGGCAGCAGCAGAGGCGATAAGGGATGCGATGATGGCGGTCTTCATTGTGATTGTTTGATTGATGTTTGACTTTGTAAAAGGACAAATTGTGAGTGAAGAGTGAAGCTTTTCGTTTCCTGGCTCGGTGTCTTCAAAAGCTCGAGAGGGAGAGACACTACTAGTACAGTACTTCGTGGCAGTTGCATGTCTTTCGTGTCTTTGGAAGAAAAGTTGAAGATCCGCTTCAATCGGGATTCAAGGATAACGTTGACTGGCTCTGATTCGTCCTCAAGACGAGACGTGGCAATTGCGCTTTTTGCGTGTCTTTTGGGTGCATTGCACTCCGAGCGTTGGTTGAAGATCGGCTTCAATCGAGATTGAGCCATAACAATGACTGGCTCTGATTTGTCTGAAGATACTTGATTAGAGTTGGAGCTTTGATCAAAGATACAAACTTCAATCATGACTTGGAAGCGGGAATCGTCGACGTCAGAGGGAAAGAAATCCGCCGTCTGGTTGCTTCCTCCCCGTGGCACCGGTACGGAAGCATTGGCGCCAAGGATCTTTGCTGATGGCTTTGTTCGAGTCCAGGAAACATCAGAGTCCACAGAGTCCACAGCTCTAGAGTGTAGCTTGAGCAAGATATTTTGTTGGAAACGAACATCAGAAAATCCCAGGTTGACCTAGCAATCTTTTGTTGGCCATGGTCCACCAATACCCACCAAGGCAATCCACTATGGTGCTTCCAATCCTTTGCCTGATGGTCCTGATTATCTCTCTGGAAGCATTTTCCCTTGCTTCCCCGTTGCTGAAAACCAGAACAAGACACACAATATTGGGGGTATCTTCTGTGGATCCCCCTAAAAGTAGTGGTACTACCAGCCAAGGTAGCACGGCAGCGCAATGGCACCGTGATCGACGACAGCAAATGTTGACTCGATATCCCGAAATTAGCCAACTGGAAAAGACGGCCAACAGCCAATCCGTCGGTGGGAGTTTTCTGGCACTGGCCAATCTGTCCTTGACCTTATTGGCCATTCTCTGTGGGCGATTGTCCAATTGGAAATTGACGTTTTTATTGGCGCTCTTTCCAGGATCCATCTTTAGTCTGTGGCAATTGCAAATCTTGCACGACAATCTACACGGATCTTTGCTGGACAAATCCAAACGGCATTATAATTTTGGTCCAATAAAAATCCCCAAGAAAAAACTGCAGCAATGGATCCTCTTTTGGGGTAGCATGCCTTCCATTTTTGGATATTACCTGTATCTCCAATATGGACATTTGACACATCATCAAGCCGTGGGAAATCCTCAGGCTGCCAATCTGCAAACCATTTTTGAATCTTCGTCACCGTCGTTTGAAGATGGCGATGTCCTTTTTGTCGCACATCGCATGAAACTCAAGGGAGGAATTGGACCACGCTTTACCATTGGCAAAAAAGAAATTGTCATGTCCATTTCCAACTTGGGCTTTCGACAATGGAAAACAGGTCGCGCCTTGTTTAATATGGGAGTCTTTGCCACATCCTTTCTTTACGAACGACTCTTATTAGTAGTCAATGATATTGTGGTGGCAGTCGCCGGCAAAAACTACTTTTTCCTGAACAAACCACCCCAATTCCACAAGGAATGTGCCCGTTACTGTCGTGCCGCGGTAGCAACACGAGCCTTGATTTGGTGGTTGGGGGGCAAGTCCTGGCACTCGCTCTGGTTCCTTTATCTGGCCGAAACACTCTGGAGTTTACCACCGCATCCGGCTGCCGCCATGTTTGTCACCAATCACGGATCGCGACCCAACAACAACAAAATTCGGGCATCACCCGATAATGCGTGCATTCCCTCGTCGAGTACGTATGCCGGCAAGTGGTATTCGTGCTTGACCCTCGGGACCAATTATCATTGCGAACATCACGATTTTCCAACCATTCCATTGCAACAGTTGGGGGCACTACGACAAATCGCACCCGAGTTCTACCGCGAGGGATCCAACGATCGCTTGTGGCCCATTATGGTACAAGCATTTGCTTATCCAGATTACTATGCCTGCATGAATGATATGGAGAGTATTCGGTAGTACGGCTGACTGAGTGCATGGTGGGAAGAAGAAAGTTGCTTTTGGTTACGGCCCGGATCGCCAAGAGAACAAACCAGTCAAGGCGATGCAGATTATTTGACAAAGGCTTGTCTCTGGATGACTCGACTCGCGAGGCCTGGGTAAACACGGCACGCAATGCAACCAAGCCGAGAATTTGGACGATGATTGAATAACCCACACGAAATCCTTGCATTGCTTCGTTGTCGGCATCGTCTCCAGGGCAATCCTGCAACTGTGGTTCTTCCAACCCCCTGAGAAAGTTAATTAAGAATCATCGCAGCTGCTACGGATGGAAAGGTTCCATGGAACTTACAGTACGTTTATCACTAATGTTTTGGTTTGGTTCACACCCACCAAAGTCTCACACGGTTGAAACTGTCTTTGGAATGTCTTCAGTTGCTTTGTCTCATACTCATGGGCTTTCAGCGTTCGATCTAGCGCCCGCACTCTCATTGCTCTCTGGTTAGTTGCTGCAGGCGAAGCAGATGGGTCCGGCTGGGTCTGCATCCAAGTTTGGACTGGCTGTTTCGATGCAGGCCGTTCCGGCAAACATAAAGTCAACTTCCGGGTCAGCATCTACCTTTGGAGTCCAGTCGCACAAGTCTTGGTTGAAAGAGCTGGCCCGGAGAAACATGTTTCGGTCCTTTTCTGCATTACTCAGGTCCCAGTCCTTGATGTTGCCATTGTTGAAAGCGGCAGCGTCTCGAAACATGCCTTGGTATCTCGTATCAAGGGAAGTGCATTGTTGATTGGTTGGCTCTCAGAAAGGAAGCTTTAGCCTGTTGTTCTGATCCGCGAAGCCACCGTATCGAGTATGCTTGATTCTTTTTCAATGCATGGCTTTATCACCGAGAGGCACATGTCACGATATTCCGATGCGATGTGCGACATACTCCCCGAGTTGAGGCATCAGGTTTTGAAGACGTGGTATCGGTACCGCTAACGAACCCATCTTCTTGCTAGCACTACTAGCTAGCTACCGGTATGCATAGTAGCCTATCTCTGATCTTAGAGATGCCCACGACAGTGATCCACGCTCTGCTGTAGCTTCAATACTTCCGTAGGCATTCGTCGGAGGAGGTATACCAGATCTGCTAGCTAGCTAGTCACCTTAAGTCCTCTTCTGAATAGCTTGCTTCTTGGGCAAATTGTCCAGCACTCCAGTGGGCTCCCCTTTACAGTTGCCTCCGCGGCCTTTTCACCTAGAGGCGATGGATGCGTGCTGGGCAACACTCACAAGAGAAGCATTCGCTTTGATGCGCCCATAAGCAACAGCTCGGTCAAGAGTGAACGTAAGCAACACTAAGATCTTTCAAAGAGAGACCACAGAGCTGGTAGCAAGGCCAACAGCCAATGTGTCAACTGGCCACAGAGTGACCTTGATGCATGGCATTCCCATTGTGGTCGCCGCGCAGCAGCGTTCTGTTTTGGGGCAAATCACACTAGCTATCATAGAACTATCTACGTATAGCTTGTAGTGCAGACTGTTGGTTCAATAGTTGCTTTTACTAATTTGGATTATGTATCGCTCTCCTTGACTATAATCACCAAAGCCACCGCAAACTATCGCCATCATTTCACGTTCCGGAACCCAACACGAGCGAAAGAAGACACCGTTCCAGCAGCGCAAGCACGGCTTCGAGCCTCTGT